TTGCGTGCACGCTAACGCCTAATTGTCATTGGTATTTGGTACACAGACTATTTGTGATTTGATTCTTCAACACAGAATTTATTTAATAGTCTTATAATGATACTGTGATAGACTGATAGATTAGTCCGTGAGGCGTGAGTCCGTGACTGCATGATTTGAAATTTTGAATCTGCCTGAAATCAAGCAAATTCAAATCTGCTTGTAGCTGCCCGGCTACAGGCAGATTCTAGCTGCCTGCAATAGCAGGCAGATTTATTAATTTTATTATTTTTATTTTTATTTTTTATAAATAACACGGGCCGGCGAGCCACACGGGCCGGCTCGGGTTCAGCTCGGAGCCCCCACATGGGGCTCGGTGCGACTGAGCCGAGCCGCCGAGCTTTTTTGCCACCCCTAGGTCAAACTAATGCTTACAAACAAGAAATTTCAAAAGCTGGGTGTGCTCTGGCAATTTAACACAAGATATAGTTTGTTTTTCTTGGGGAACTAGTAGAAAAGCTGATAAGTAAGCTCTAATGACAAATATAGCTCTAAAAGTAAGAGCTCGACCTATTCATCTGTCATTGACAGTACCAACAGAAGCTTCCAAGCCAACTTCTTGATCTTTAGACATTTGGAGGTTCAAATCCCATTCGACGGAATATATTTCCGTATTTTTCTTATTTTGATATCAAGAAATACTTTTTGCATAGTGGGATACTGTAATTTACTAACTTATTCTAACTTCATAACTGTGACTATTGTTGGTCGGTTTGTCCATTGTCTGAAGTCATGTATGTCATATTCTAATAGTTGATTAATTCTTCTATAGCCAAGTGTCTGTCCAAGCACCACTTAGCAGTGTTAGTTCACTTTAATTTGCTCGAGTCCTACTGATCGGTATTTATAAGTGGCTTAAGCAGAGCGAGGTTCGATATCACCCATCAAGATTACATGACCTATAGATAAAACGAATTATGTATCTGACCCTATGATTGTTGAAAACTAGGCTTGGTTGTATTTTCGTTTTTTTTCCTGGATAATTTTAGTGGCTTTTGATCATGAGATGCTTGTTCTTTATGCATTATAAGGTTTAGAAGGGTCTTGATATCTCCGATTTAGCAGGTATCACGAATCTTGATTTTTACAATCAGGGGTTTGACTCTAAGATTGGCAATGTATTTGACTCAAGGATAATAGCGGATCCAAAATGAACATTGAGCACAGGCGGTGAGAGCGGCCGCCCAAAATCTGGCGGATCCGCCGGTGCTCAAGGAGCACTCTTCTTTACATCATATGAATCTTTCAAGATGTTATTATCTTTGGAGGTTCCCCAACTGAGTCAGCCAATCCAGCACAAACAAAGGGCGGAAGATTATTCAGTAGCATTGCATTCACCAGTCTCGGTTACAGTATGGTTTGCACTGAAAAAATGTAGAAGCAGAATTCTCTTGGCAACCTCCCAACCAAGCAGTCTTACTGTATAGAGTTGGACAATACAATACAATAGACTAGATTTTAGTTTCTTTTTCAATTTTGTCCAGTACGGTCCAGTCTTGTGTTTAACCAACCAAGCGGTAAGAGTTTGATGAGATGCTGGAAGTCGAAAAAGGTATAGGCCCGGAATTAGAACAGCTGGCACCAAACTAGGCTTATTGGTGCCTTGAACATGAGGAGAAATATTTTTTGTTTTGGAAACAAAATGAGAAATTTTTGTACGTGTTGTTGTTGTAACGTTAGCGTGCAATAATGGATGTATTGAAATGAGCCCTATAACAATGGAGCGATATTTCTTATACGATATTTTCGAATGAATTTTATTTTGTATTATTATTTTTATTCTCAGTTTCATGGCTACTAGGAACCAAGAATCTATTTGATTTTGACCGTTATAAATTCCACATTGTGAATTACGGCTAACTCATACATGTAAAAGTCACGGATTTTGGTTATCAATTAATTTTTTGAAGGATTATTCTATATGTACACCTTATGGTGTACACAATTTTTTACACCACTCTCACATGGAGGGGACCCACAAATATTTTATTGTATGTGGGCCCCCTCCATGTGAGAGGGGTGTAAAAGATTATGTAAGTTATTGTGTACACATAGTACTTCCCTTTTTTGAATTCGTAACATTTTCCAAACTTCATATAAAACACAAAATGGCTTGTTTGTTAATGAGAATTTTGAACAATCTTAGAGGGAGAAAAACTTCATTATTACTTAATTTAGTCCATTACATCACCTTCAATTTTGAGTAGTTGCTTAAAATTTCTAGTCTTACTTTTTAAAATAGATTAAATAAAACAGATGCCGAGCTAGAACAAAGAAAGTCGTTGTAGTATAGTGGTGAGTATTCCCGCCTGTCACGCGGGTGACCCGGGTTCGATCCCCGGCAACGGCGAAATGTTTGAACTTCAATTTTTTATTCATTTTTACGGCTAACTCATACATGTAAAATCACGGATTTTGGTTATCAATTCATTTTTTGAAGGATTATTCTATATGTACACCTTATGATGTACACAATTTTTTACACCACTCTCACATGGAGGGGGCCCACAAATATTTTATTGTATGTGGGCCCCCTCCATGTGAGGGGTGTAAAAGATTATGTAAGTTATTGTGTACACATAGTACTTCCCTTTTTTGAATTCGTAACATTTTCCGAACTTCATATAAAACACAAAATGGCTTGTTTGTTAATGAGAATTTTGAACAATCTTAGAGGGAGAAAAACTTCATTATTACTTAATCTAGTCCATTACATCACCTTCAATTTTGAGTTGTTGCTTAAAATTTCTAGTCTTACTTTTTAAAATAGATTAAATAAAACAGATGCCGAGCTCGATCAAACAAAGTCGTTGTAGTATAGTGGTGAGTATTCCCGCCTGTCACGCGGGTGACCCGGGTTCGATCCCCGGCAACGGCGAAATTTTTGAACTTCAATTTTTTATTCATTTTGGCCTTCCCCTGCAAACATTCTTACGAAGCGCTTTAGGAAATAATGCAAAAGAGAGTGTACACAAATTTTATTCAAAATCTTCCATTTCCCAGAATGTACTTTTAAGCATTATAAATTACAAGAATGAATCACTCCTATTACTTCTCAACAATGGCCTCACTCTTACTGTCTTCACTCCCTATCAGCTAAAGAGTATGAACTCTACGTTTTTTGCTTGAACTTCCTATACAGAAATGAAGACAAAAAGTAAAGAAGTTTTACTTTAGATTTCTTCTCCTCTGGACTGGTTGGGTTATTAAATAAGCTTATACTCGAGCAATCGGAGAGAAGGGTGGATTGAGTACAAAAGATGGCAAAACTTCTTCCTTCTCGTTAACTTTAGATTTCTTCTCCTCTGTTCCCGAATTAATCAAATTTTTTATTTCTTTCTTGGAAAATACGCTCAATGAATCGCGTTGCAACTTTTGTTTGTTCGGTTCCTGCCCAACAATGATAGAGGCTTCTGCAGTATGCAAAATTGCAACACAAACGGAGAATGCTTGTAATGAGGATAACTGTGCATGGAAATCAACTGCATATTGTCCATCATCAATCACCCTAATTGTCAAGGCTGGTGCATTATCATTCTTCCCCTGCATACAGATAGGTCATTATGATTAATAACTAAAACAATATTTGGGACAAAAAATACATAACAAATACTATATGTCCTGTTCTTCATGTTATCCCTGGAGTGAAAACCCGAAGTAGCTATAATCTACGAAGTGCAAGTATAATGATCTTACATCAGACAGAGAAATTACCTGAACAAAGAGTTTCAATGGATGCTGATTGTCTATGAGGATAAGGCCCCCAGCAATTTGAATGTTTCCATTGCCAAAAATACTGAGGGGGCATGCCATGTCCCAGCCACCACAGTCGCATCCTCCACCTCTCCTCCATCGATCTAGTAATGATGAAGGGCCACAACTTTCAGTACTTTGCAAACTGTGGCTTCCGGATGGAATCACTACATGAATCTTTCCAGGACTTGCACGGTCAGATGTTGAGGCCTTTCTATTCTGAAGTGGCTTATCATCAGCTCTATCCCGGCCTTTTAAGTTTAGGTTTTCTTTCTTCTTGACTGGGACTTCTATAATAATAGCTGCAAGTTCAAGCTCCGGATGCAATTTTGCTGCTACCAGAGGATTAGTCAAGGAATCAAATTGGCCACTTTGTTGCGACTGCTTAGAAGTCAAGGACGAAATTTCATCAGAAATGAGCTGTGATTTAACGACATCTGGAGAAGAGCTAGAAGCATCTTGAGATGAAGCGCTTGTTCTTGGATGGGCAATGTCACATAACACACACTCTGTCACCATAGAGTTTTCGAAAGCTCCAGCAACTTTTAATTCAGTTTGAAAATAGCAGGAAACTTGCATCTGCCCTATCATAGAGGAATCTCTATTGGAATCTTTTGATCCCCATCCACTATCATTGATCTTGCTTCTACGGTCAAGTGAATGAAATGTGTAGACCAAAGTTAAAGCATTTTCCTCTTGCTGTGTCTTTGCGATGTAAACATCTTCTGGACACTTCACAGAAAACTCGTAAAGAGGCACCCCATGTTCATTCTCCAACTTGAGAATGCCATGCAGGTGTGCTGGATTAGACTGCAAAGTCGAATTGTTGTTCCCTTTCTTTTCAGATTGAGAATTGTATTCTGAATTATGCGACTTGTTTGAGAAGTCACGCCATAGGGATTTGCGAGTATTTTTGTCATGCTTGAGGCCAACATGCTCACTTATTGTTTGGTTTACGGGCTCGTTACTGGAACTTAACGGGCTTCTCCGAGACTTGGAATTAGAAAATGAATGAAACATCTTCCTGACAGGACTAAATGTGCCCTTGGTACCGCTGGCTCTCGAACTATCACTTTCCAATTGAGCAGGCAAATGGGTTGAAGTGAATCTTGCTGACAATGATTTGAGTAATCTGGGAGCTGAAATTGTATTTTGTGGGCTGTTCCTGTCATTTGTACAACCAACCACATGTTCAGACATAACCTTAGGATCCTGACCTTGCAGGATATATGCATTATCTACTAAATGGTTTTCTCGGTTGCCTAAGTCTATAGAAGAAACATTTGGAGGGATGTTTCTTCCAGAAAGACGGGAAGAACGATTTAAGAAATTCCAACGAGCTGTGCTTCGTTCTGAATTTAGAGACGTTACTGATGACCTAATTGGTTCCATTAGTGAGCTATTTTCATCTGGACTACACAAAGAATCAATAATTCCCGACAAGAATACGGTGGCATTGCCTCGTGAGAACTCGTTCTTTTTCCTTTCCTCAGCAGCATGGATTTTCCTCAACAAACTCACTGCAATTCCCTATTGGCTCTAGTAGACGTAATGCCTCTACACGGTGCACTGCTGCAGCAATTAAAGCTAATCTCATAAGTCTTCATCTAGGCTTTACACATTTGGGCTTCCCATTTGATTTTCTATTTCCAACTTTTGAAAGATGCTGAGAAGTTGGTAGGACAGTTGTAGGACTTCCGTTTACAACACAATACTAATCAAATCCAACTCCACATCCAGTCCCTCTAACATTATTGACAAATTGACAGCCTAAAAAAGAAAAGAATCGTTAAATCCCGAATCAAATCACTCAAAAAATACTGAACCAAATCACACAGGATTCAAAATTTAATTATGAAGTAAATACATGACAGACCCTAAATTACGTCGTCCTGCCAAATCCCATAAGTAGATTTTTATGTATTTACACTGTAAAGAAGCTAATCTTAACTGTGAGTTCAGTACTTAAAAAACATTACATACGATATCGGCATAGAATTACAAAGCCTATATGTTGACAGGAAAAAAAATCAGATGTTGTAAAATATGCAATATATCCAATATGCATGCCATTATATAAAACTCGAACTTAGAATCGTTCAAGTGAACATTTCAAGATACAAAATTGAAGTTCATGATCAATGATAAAATCAGATCTCAATAAATAAAAAATAAAAGAAAATGATAATGAGTACAAAACTGAAATACTAAAGAAATAAAGCCATACCCATACTTTCAGATTGAAAAACAGGATGACTGCTATAAAGCTAAAAGACTTCAAGTCATTAGGCCAATTTTTCTACAATTAGATGTAGCATTTCAAAGATTTTATACCAAATTTCTAACAAATGAGTGGAGCCTACTAATAATTTGAAAGCTCAATACCATTTGAACTAAAAATCTTGAAAAACTTGAGCAATCTAATGCCTAAAATAATTGGACAGTATTATTATGTATACTTGGATTCCAAGCTAATAAAAGCAGAATTTATAAAGGAAATAGGCATACCCCACTTTACATCCTAGAGAAGTGAAGACAAAGAAAAACCCAACAAACAGCAAGCAAAAGCAATCATTTTCTCCAATCTCTTGAGTTCAAAGGCTTATGTGAACCCAAATCATATTCAATTATATATTCTACAAAAGAAAAAAGTACAAAAGCACACTATTGAAGAACAGTCTTACATTGCTTCAAGACTTATACTCAGAATTTTCCCTTCTCACAGAATCAAGAATAGCCTTAAAATGAGAAAAAAAAGAAAGAAAAAAATATCAATTAGGACCAGCCCACAAACAGTAAAGTTGCATAATATGCAAACAAATAGACATTATGCCTAATTGTTCTTTCTTTGGGGGTGTAGGTGGGTTGGGGAGTCTTACAGTCTTTCACATGAATTTGCCAAGAATAACAGTGATTAGAACGCTGATTTAGGCACCTAACACCTCGTCACCTTCAATACAGGTAAAATGTTGAAAAAGATGGACACCCCACCCCCAATTAAAATAGAGAATTACCGTGGATAGATTTATTGGTTTTTCTTGGCTTTCGGTGCGTTTGATTGTAAGAGTAAAAAATGGGTGTAAAAAAAATATTTTATAGGGAAAAAATTTATCTAGAAAATGTTTTGCAGGAAAAATGATTTCAAGTGTGTTTGATTGGTATAATTTTCCATCTGAAAAATTTTTAAATTTTGTGTTCGTTTGACTTTCGTTTGTATCAAAATTATCCATTAAAGTGAGAATTTTTTCCATAATTGGTTATGAAATTTGTTTCTATTACCAAAAAGTAAAAAAAAAAAAAAGAAAAAGAAAAAAAAATGTTTCCAAAAAATTCTTTTTTTATCAAAGTTTAGTGTTCGTTTGACCTTCGTTTGCATCAAAATTGTCCATGAAAGTGAAATTTTTTTTTTTTTACATTTGGTCATGAAATTTGGTGTCATTGCAGAAAACACAAAAAAATAAAATAAAAACCTGGAAATCAATTTCCCACCTAAAGGTGGAAATCAATAAAGGTGGGAAAATGATTTCAAGGTTTTCATGGAAATTGTGAGCGTGTGGCCTCCTCGAGGAATTCAAATTGTCAAGAAAATAAAAATTATCAAACAAGCATAAAGTTGGAAAATAGAAAACCAATTTCATTTTCCACCTTATTTCCACCCTATCAAACACACCTTAAGGCCTGTTTGATTGGCATTATTTTTCAAGGAATTAGAAAAATATTTTCCATTTTCCACTTTTTTGACTGTTTGATAGACGAAATTTTCTACAAAAAATATTTTCTACCTTTAGCCCACACGTGTGCATTTTCCAACTTTTTGATGGGAAAAAATTTTCCACGCTGGCGGGAAAAAATATGTTATAACCAATGGTAAATTTTTTTTTCACTTTAATGGACAATTTCTATGTAAAACAAAGTCAAACGAACACTAAACTTTGATGAAAAAAATAATTTTTTAAAAAATAAATTTTTTCTTTTTTTTTTTACTTTTTGGTAATGGAAACAAATTTTATAACCAATTGTGGAAAAAGATATCACTTTAATGGACAATTTCCATGTAAAACAAAACCAAACGAATAGAAAATTTAAAAATTTTTCGAATGGAAAATTATACCAATCAAACACACTTGAAATCATTTTCCCTACAAAATATTTTTTAGGTAAATCTTTTCCTTGTAAAACATTTTCTTTCCACCCATTTTCTACCATTACAATCAAACGCACCTTAATTACTTTTGCCAATGACAAATGTTCCTTCTATTTGATCTTTAATTCACATTAAGCCTACATTTTTTCCATAATATAATTTTTCTCAAAATTCATTTTCAGTCACATATTCTTTCATAAAATAATATTACATATAAATTTAAAAAAATCCTTTATATTTTAACTACACATTCTCCAAAAAATTAATATTCCAAAATAAACAAATTAAAATAGAGCCCAAACAGGAGATAAAAAATGTTTCAAGCTCGAAGATACATCCTACATTTACAATTATAGTTGCAATTTACCATTTTGTTACATTGTAATATGGATTTTTCTCCTTATACCGGGGGGTTGTACACCCCTCGGTACGAATAGTGCGGTTCTTGTAATATTTTTCTAATGGAAAAGTGAACAAAATGTGGGCCCCCTCATGTGAGGGGATCGGTAGGAAATGTGGGCCCCCTTCATGTGAGGGGGCCGGTAGGGGGGGTTGTATACCCCCGGTACGAATAGTGCGGTTGTTGTAATATTTTTCTAATGGAAAAGTGAAAATTGTCTAACTTGCACATTTTTATGATTAGGGGTAACATTCTCTTGGTTTTCCCGACTTCCATGTGAAAGGATTGAGGACATGTCGATCTCTTCTCTTCTGCAGTTACTCTGCTCTTGGTTAAGTTGATCACCATTTTTTACAATCCACCTTTTTAAAACTCATTCTAACCAAAAATTGGACGGGATCAACCAAATTTATCAATTACATATTTCATAACGTTTATCAAAATCTACAAAAAAATTAAAAAGAAATAAAAATATGTTTTTTAACAAAATCAAATAGGGGCTATTTAATGAATAATCTACTATATATAACATACAAGAAGTGTGAATAGAAGAGAGAAATTCAAGTTTTCTTTATTCCTACATTTTTTTTTTGTTTATGGTAAAAAATATTTTTATATAACAATGTATATATAATTTGGTATTAATATAAAATAAAACCCCTCCAAATTCCAGATTTGCAATCATTACTAATTAATGATAAATTGTCAATTGCACAATCTATGTAGGAATTAATAATCGTGAGAACGACACTCCGAAGCATGAAAACATGCCAATCCACCTTCGTATATGACTTCAAGAAGAAGAAGAAGAAGAAAATGAAAGTTTTTACGATAGTCCCACTTAAAAAAAAAAACAATTTGATGAGCAATATTGCATTGTCACCAATTGTATAAACAATGGTCACCTTCGTATATGACTTCAAGAAGAAGAAGAAGAAGAAAATGAAAGTTTTTACGATAGTCCCACTTAAAAAAAAAACAATTTGATGAGCAATATTGCGTTGTCACCAATTGTATAAACAATGGATCCACTAAGCAGCCCCGATGAGGAACCTTCTATCTGGCCTCTACACCACTAGTAGAGTGGCTTGGAAATATGAATATGGGTTTGAAGTAAGTCACTTGTATATTCCACTTGTACATCTTGGTTGACATTTCATAATGTGTAAACATTGAGGTTATTGATCGATTTAACTTTTAAGTGTTGTTCAAGTTAACGGCGTGCCATATCATGGGATGTAAGTATAGCTGTCAACCAAAATGTAATTTACAACCAAATCTTAGAATAAATGATTTTCGAAAGTGTCAACTGCCAAGCTGAGCCTTGACAGCAGAATCCAAAATAGAGAAATTGACATAAATAGCATAACATAAGGTCTTTTATAGAATATAGCACCAGTTTTAATAAGAAACGGCTGGGGTTTCTTATCCAAAACAATCTCTGCGCTAGATTTTCTTCATCAAAACCAATTACACTCTGAAATTCAATTCCAGTGTCAAATGGAAATTCTACCATATCTCTCTCGCCTCAAACTGTCTCCATATCTCGGTTTCACCATTTGCAATACCAATGCTGTAACCATCTCTCCCCGTCTTCCATTCGCCTTCAAAACCCATCTCCTTTTTCCAAGAAGCAACACGAATTTCTCACTATCCGCCACCGTCGAAAGTCATGAATCTGCAAAAGTATTCGACGACTACAATGAAGACGAGAGCTACGGAGAAGTGAACAAAATCATCGGGAGTAGGGCACTCGAAGATGGCAGTGGGATGGAGTACTTAATAGAGTGGAAGGACGATCATGTGCCCACTTGGGTTCCTTCTGATTACATAGCCAAGGACGTGATCGCCGAGTACGAAGCTCCCTGGTGGAACGCCGTGAAGAAAACCGACGAAACGGCTCTCAGAGAAGTTATTAGCTCCGGAGACGGGAGAGACATTGACGCCGTGGATCAAGACGGCCGGACGGCTCTTCTGTTTGTATCGGGGCTCGGCTCGGAGCCCTGCGTGAAGTTGTTAGCCGAGGAGGGTGCAAATGTCAACCACAGAGATAACAGTGGTGGATTGACGGCTTTACACATGGCTGCTGGTTACGTCAGACCGGGAGTGGCGAAGGTGTTGATCGAATTTGGGGCGGACCCAGAATTGGAAGACGATAGAGGAAGAACCCCATTGGAATTGGCCAGAGAGATTTTGAATGTGACACCAAAAGGCAACCCTGTGCAGTTTGCTAGGAGATTGGGATTGGAGAATGTGATAAGGGTGTTAGAGGACGCCATTTTCGAGTACGCGGAGGTGGAGGAGATACTCGAGAAGAGAGGAAAGGGGACGAACACGGAGTACTTGGTGAAATGGAAGGACGGAGGGGATAACGAGTGGGTGAAGGCCGGATTGATAGCCGAGGAGTTGGTCAAGGACTTTGAGGCCGGGCTCGAATATGCATTGGTAGAATCCATTGTGGATGCGAGAAAATGCGAGGATGGGAAGACAGAGTATTTGGTGAAATGGACCGATATAGAAGAAGCTACTTGGGAGCCCGAGGAGAATGTTGATCCCGATTTGATTCAAGAGTTCAACTTGCTTAGAAAACCATCGTGATTTGATCGAAGAATTGTGTTTGGATTTGCTTTCATCTTGAGAGCGAGTCGATCAATAATCGATCAATGTCTTTGGATTCTTCCTTCTCTTGTATTGTTATTTATTTACCAAGAAAAAGATTGGCCCTATGATATAAATGGAACTTCATTTTTGAACATTGAATTTAGAATCTTGTGTTACACACTTATTTTTGGATCGAAAGACACAAAATATACCTTGTATTTTGCGTGCGATTGGACCATTTCGTGAAGCAAATTTCTAATGATAATGCAGTAAATTAATCGTAATCATAACAGATAATACTCACTTCACACGTGTTTTTCTAGAAATCCACTAGCACAAGGAGAGTAGTTCGTCGAAGAAATCACGTTCAAACATGCTCAGAAGGTCCCCTAGCAAACTGGTTAAATCTGCTTAGTATTAGTAGACATCTTGTACTATTTATGCGTTAATACGTACTTAAGTGTACATAAAATGTCATGGAATCCCGTTTGCAACTTTATAAATTGTCAAACCAATTCTCACACTGAGTTTGCTATCTCGACTTTATTGTCCCTTTAACCATCCACCACTAAAATTTTGACAAATCACTAGGAGACAACCCAGCCGAGATAGCATATTGCATTATTCCCAATCCTATCCCCACTGAGAATTTAGGAATTGCTGTCCAATGGGATTCTGAATTGGGATTTTGGGAGTGGGAATAGTAATTTACCTTCAAATTGAAGAATACAGTATTTTTCAGATTTTTTACTCCTCAACAGTAGAGAACCTAATTTCCTCTTATTGGGCATAACTATCTAATTTGACATGGGTTTTGTATTCTGGCTTAGTCCATGCAAAGCCTAATCCAACTTGTAATGGATGAAATTTGATTATAATCCCATAAAACGTGATATTGAACAACATAGTGATACAAGCACCAACTCCAGATTCGATCAGCTATTTACAAGCAAAACAGTTACCCGGGGTACAGGAATCACTCAGGATCTTCAGCCTTTGTTTTGTTGAATGATTTTTGATTGTCCAGTACAGGAACGAATGCTTCAGTAGTTTTCTTCAGGACATCACCGGCTCCCTTCTCAGAACCACGGGGACTCAAAAGCTTCTTCTCAACATCTTCAAACTTGGCAGTAGCTAATGGTGCAGTGCCTACAGCCCTGGCCGAATTTGACCCTTCTATTGTCAGTGTAGAAGCATCATCTCTAGAAGCATACCAGGTGTTACCACAAGCGACACACTCCAGCTGGAGAAATCATCACATGATGAAGATTGTTATAGCAACTCAATGCATATTCAATAGCTAAAAGTAAAGTAAATATAGTCACGTTAAACATAGTTACTTAGGATATTGAAAATCAAAAAGGAAAATGTACAAACATGGTAGCGGTCGCCATGTCCAGCCTGAATGATCTCAATCAAACCGACTTGTTTCTCATTGCATCTCTTACAGCGAGCATCAGTCATCTGGTCAAAAACAAACAAAAAATTAACACTGGCAACCATGATTCAATAAAAGAAAGGTCAGAAAGTATCATAAATGCCAATCATTTGATAAAATGACACTGAGAAACCTGCTGGATGCGCCCTGATTCCTCAGGCTCCCTGATGGCTATTTCCTCTGCTGTTAGACCCTCCTGAAAAAAATTGNATGTCATTTAGCATGTCAAGGACCAAACACTCGAGCAAGTGCATGTGTTAATATATGGTGAGTCAGTGTTTCAGTTTGGTCCTTGAAATGCTAGAGGGGATAATCCCAGTCAAAATAGGAAGAGTAAGCTTAGTTAAATTGAAGATACAAAACGAACGAAAAAAGGTTCTGAGTTCAAAACAGACGAGAAAAATCTGAAACAATAGTTTCTAACAGGATGGAAATTTTCTAGAACCAGAAGTCTTGAGAAAAGATAGTAATGAACTAGTAACTTATACTCAACAAAGCGTTGTATCATCAACCTGGCAGCCAAGCATGTTAACAGGTCATAATTTGAATCTCTCCTATAGAACCCAACTTTGGGACAGGTTTTAATTATAATTTTGACATGGATATTACAAACAGCAAGTATATAGTGCCCAAAACAGAACACAAGGGAAAGGAAAACAATTTCAATTGTTCAAGAGATAGACTCAGAGAGTAACAACCAATAACATAGACTGGACCTTTAATTCATTTGGCGACATATTCAATATTTGTGAAGGCTCCAGCTCCCCATTCAGAAGACGTCGTGCTAACACAGCATTATTCTGGAAAAAAAAATAGTGAGTTAAAAAGCAAAAACACAAGTCAGGAAAATATATGTAGAAAAAAAACTAAATAGAGAAGGAACAGTACTGGGACGAAAGAAGTACATATGCAAACGTGTTGCACAAAAGTGCAGTTTTTAGACATTTTATACCAAGATGTCCACAGACTCACAAAAAAAAGTCAGATGGCCTAACCTTTAGATTAAATGTTAATTGCCGCAACTTTTGGTTATATTTATGAAAATCAGAGGAAAGAGCATCATGCGCAGCCTTTTCAAGAGCAGTTACTGCAGAAACAGCTCCATCTGGCCAGTAAAAGGCCTCACTTCCCTAAGCAAAGAAAAGAAATATTTCAAGTATGTTCTAGAAAATATTAAGAGCTTATTAGGGCCCCATTTTCTAGAACTCATTTTTTCTCAAACTCATTTTCAATTATATTTTTCATGGGACCTACAACTTTTATCAACTTTTCATCCACACATTTCATTAACTTTTATCAAAATCTACTAAAAATTCTTATTTTTATCTAAATGAAAAGGGTCTAGATGCTCCACAATCTAACAAAAAAATCCAAATGCTTACAATTGGAGTCTTGTAGTCAGATTCATTCATGTGATTTGAAGTACCACTTTTATCCGTGCTACTGCTTCTTCCATTAACACCATCTTTTTCTTTCCCATCATTCTGCTTGCTGTGCATGGAAGTGCACATAAATTGAATTGCTTGTAGAAGCTTCTCCAACCCCCTGTCCCTCTGCATTTCCCCGGTGAGTACCTTATGCTGCGATAGGATGGCATAATACTCTGATGAACTAGCAGCGGTACTTCCTGGAGTTTCTGCTTTAAGAGATTGTTGAGATCTACTAATTCCTTCATCCTCCCTGGAAATATCCAAAGGCGGAACATTCCTTCTCTTTAGAAGACGTTTACTCTTTGTCTGATCTTCCTGATTCACAGCAGTATCCTCGGGCTCAAGGTCAGGAATGTCTCCTACACGTGAAATAGTCTTCTGAACAAGAAGATCAATCTCATGCTGTTTGTTGTCTTCATAATCTTTATCTGTTAGCTTAAAAAGCCTCTTCTGTTCAGTATCATAAACTTTCTGCACAATAAAACCAGGATGTTGTTTTCGCTTTGGAATTTGTTTATTCAAAGGTATGAAGTGCACAACGCACTTGTGCATGACAGATTCAGCAGGCACTTCATCTCGATGGAAACTATAAAATAGTTCCCTAGTATCACGTGATTCCCAATTTCCACCGCCTTTTTTTTCTGCCTCCTCTGGACGATAAAACCACTGTCCAGTTACCATCATGGCTCCTTTTCTGGTCTGAGAAATATCCTGTGCACAGAATAACTAATTAATAAATACACACACAGTAAAAGATATATCTTCATGCCATGACAGATGCATTCCTATAACAAAGTAAATCATACATCATTAAAACATGAATAACTACCCAACTTTTAACACAGGGATCACAAGTTACAGAGCCAACAAACAAGAAGGATACACAAGATGAGCTAAAAGATTTGTAATCCTATAGGATTTGATGATAAAATAAAGCCTACGTTTTGGTAAGTGTCTAAAAGTCAAAAAATCCACATATTTAATAGGATTCAAAAGTACTACCTACTTATCTACTACTAATTTCTATTTGTTTATAAACATTTGCCAAACATACGCTAACAGAGATCAGCACTCATTTGCAAAACAGCTAATACTCTTTATCTTTCATGATATTTGAATTGCAAGTAGTGGAACTTCAAAAGGGGGGTTCAATGAAGCAGAACTATACTTCAGACCTCCAAGACAACTATACTTGTCCATGTGGAGAGCAATCTATTCTCGACTAAAGTATAGGATATATTAAGAATAAATTAGGCACTTCGTATAGGGAGAAGGCTCACACCTACCTAAGATACAATCCTAAACCGTTGCAGGCTGAGACTAAGCATAAGCTCACCTGTAAGCTCTTCAAGCTTCCCTTAATTTGCTTCGCTTGAGCCGCACAGCACATAGTTGGAAGTCAGAAGGCCAATACTACCTGCCTAACCCTTCGCTCTGAGGGACCCTAGATCAAAAAGCACCTTCTAAAGCACCCCATTCATCCAAAAGAGAATGGAAGGGGCCTATTTATTTGCAATGACCTCTATAGATTTAACCCTATCTACACCTGGAGCCACTCCCCTATTAGTCTTGCCACCACGCTGTAGAATAGGAGCTAGTGTGGAATCTTTTACTTCTGGCGTAACAACGATAGAACTTTAAAATATTACGGCCGCCCAACACAAGGGCCCATCCAGCCTTTCATTTCATATGCCATCATTCCCATATGCCACACCTCTTATTTAATCTTGCTATACATCCAAGCCGGGGAGCTGGAGAAAAAGCCAGATGGGCGACCATTGATAAGAATCGACATATTCGCCATGGGAAGGAAGGAGGATAATCTAAACATTTTTGATTTAAAAAGTGAGCAAGAACTTAGAGTTTGTTTGGTAGGAATTTTTGGGGAAAGAATTGATTTTTGAATAGTGATATGATGGGAAATGTGTGGTTGAAAAAGAAGAAAAAATTATTGATGTGGTGAAAAATATTATTTTATTGAAGAATGTGTGGTTGAAAATGAGAATTGATTTACTGTAGAATTTGAAAATCTTTCCCAAACACCCCATTAGAAAAGGTGAAACTTAATTTATTAAATTATAGTTTTAGATAATTTTCTTTCTTATGTTTTATTAGTAGAATTAGTTATATTACATGATTCTAGGAAATTATTGTCCTACCAGTAATTTATTTTATTTTTATAATTTTCTGTATTCTTGTATTAGTTTCATTTTAAAATTCTTCTATAGACCTATGTTGGGGTTTAA